GGATATTAAAATTTTATACTATATTGTTGAAATAAAAAACAAACTAATAACCAAATACAACAAAGGAATTTAGACATCACAACATTATAATGTAGAATATGAAAAATGCACATGTTGAAAAAGTTATCTGAAAAATAACACATGTTGCATTGCAGCGCATCATGAGCACATCTCTGAGAGACAACAGAGAATAATCAAACAAACAAAAGCGTTCGTGCTGCTCAGAAAACATCCATTCAGACCTGCAGGAGTCAAGAGGGAATAATAATATGTGCTTTACTATTACACCATCATCAAATATTTACAGACGAAAAGCCAAACCAAATCATCTCAATGCCATAGATAGATAGATAGATAGATAGATAGATAGATAGATAGATAGATAGATAGATAGATAGATAGATAGATAGATAGATAGATAGATAGATAGATAGATAGATAGATAGATAGATAGATAGATAGATAGATAGATAGATAGATAGATAGATGTGTGTGTGCGGGGTGAATGATGGTGTTGTGATATGTTGTGTAGTTTGCACGGCTTGTCTAGCACAGTTGTTTTAATGCTACTAATGAGCGCGCTCGTCATGATAATCGCCGTGGCGTTTGCGTCTGTGTGTTTGGGGTCCGAGGACTCGTGTCTCTCTCTGCCACTTATTGTCTAGTCACAACACTTTAGTAAACTGCAGGAAAAGAAAGCGCACATGTTGCGGTGATGTACAGAGCATGCAGTGCTACACAACTTAAAGGGACAGTTCACCCAAAAATACAAATTCTGTCATCACAAAAGATGATATTTAAAACATGTTGGTCACCAGAGAGTTGATGCACCCACTGCAAAACTGTAAAACCAAAATAAACTATCCCTTAAAGTGAACATTAGTATTACCTGTTTCTAGCCCTATCATGTCTGCTCACCAGTACAAGCTGATACTGCAGTTATTCTTCAAAACACAATAAACAACACGCTTTCCGTCTCTCCGCCAACCAGCCGTCATACAGAGACTTATTTTCATTATACAATAAATTCCCAATGGATAAAATCAAGTCTCATCCACATTTCCCTCATTGAGTATTCAGATGATCAAATATATCCCGTTACAAGTAAAATGTCTCTCACACACCTTCAAACTGGTGTATTGATTCTCCAGCAGCCAAATGGGAATAAGACACAGCCTGAACGTCACGACGGCAGCAAAGTTTAGGGCTGGTGCTAATATACCTTTTCCCCCCTAAAACGTTACTAGTGTTTGTCTTGCTGACTTGCAACTGAGAACTGACGTTTCCTTAAGGACATGCGAATATGATTATATGTAGGATTATGTCTGCTCAAAAAGGCCATCAGGTCACATATGCCAGACAATAACACTTGACATGCATGCACTGGTTTGAGTTTTTACAGTGTTCAGTATTGAAGGGAAAATATAAGATGAATTATCTAAACTGATAATAGCAACTTTTCACCTTACAGAGCATTCATTTCTTTGTTCACAATGATGGTTTTGAAACACCGGCCCATTATAATATAACTGAATATAGGGAGACCGAGGGCGACTTCTGATATTAAAATAGCTCTTGGGTTTAAACACTTGTTGTATATTGTTACATATTTTTAACATAAAAAGATCAGTCAGGAAAATGTACAGAGACATTTAAAGCTGAATCAGACCAAAAAACATGTGATTAACACTAAATATATGCATTCTTAATAACAGAAACATGGAGAAATTAAAAACATATGTAAAAGTAATTTGCATTCAATTTCATCTTTCTTTTTCAGTACTTTCAGTTTAAAAAATTGCAATGCAGAGAGTTTATAAAAAGGCTGTGAAACAGGCATTTAAGATCACTCGTGTTCAACAAATGCAATCATAACTTAATTAATGGACAGGAAGGCATTAATAAATGAATGCATAATATATCCGGATGCTGAATAATACAGCACACGGCTGAAGTGTACCTGGTTTAATATTTAATTCCGTTTTAATCAACTGATAAGATTGAACTATAAAATAGTTATTCTGACTAATCTATTACATATAACAAGTAAGCAATAAAATGTGCCTAGTAAAATGTATACCAGGCAGCAACAAATACTCGGAAGTGAAGTTGACATCTGAACCACAGACACCAATACAATTCATCGCAAAAAAATGAAATTTGATACTAGACCAAAAACAAATGCAGTAGTGATTGTCTAGTTGAATAGTGACCAGTGAAACGTGAAAAGACACTAAATTAGCCTTCTTAAAATAGTTAGGCTACCATAATAAATAGACAATAGCCTACTTAAAGAAAATGTTAACACAGCTTGCCATAATCTCATCGCTTTTCATTGTCGTACAAAAGTAACATTAAACTACTGACATCCCCCAACCAAGTAAACTACTACAAAGTCTACCAATCTACTAAATCTGTCCATCTGATCCCACTCGACACACACTGCAGAAACATCTCTCACACACACACACACACACTCGAGCACGCGGACAGAACTCACCGAAGAGCAGGGCGCGCGCGCTGGCTGACATCACGTCTCCGGACTGAAAATCCCGCACAAACGGCTCCTTCGCTCCTCAAAACGAGCACATTGAGTCATTGAAATGGTCTCTCAGTTTTGTTCCGAACATGAACGGAGCGAAATCACCGGCTGAGACCATCAAACGCATCTCTGAGATCTCCAGACGTCCTGAAGCTCCGTTTCCTCCGAAGAGAAGTTCTCATTGACTTCAACTAGGATGATGCGTATCTACGATCTCGCTGCTCTCCTCCTCCGCCTCCTGCTCTCTGTGGGAAGCAGCCACCGGCTGGGAAAGGTGTGTGAGGGGATGTGGAGACCTCTGCAGTTAAAGCAGAACACTCTCCTTTGCAGACTTCCTGATGGGACACATGCAGGCAGGCAGATGGCGGCTGATAAGGGTCTTTCTGCTGCTGCAACGGAATGATTCTTACTTTATTATAACCCAACTTTAACGAAACGAGCGAGCGGGCTTTAACAAGTTCGTGCGTATTTAAATGAATAGCCTAGGCCTATATATAAACTCAATTTAATGTCATTTTGAATTGACAAATAAGTCCCCCTGTGGTGAAAATCAAGCTTTTAATGTTGTTTATGTCTCTCTCTGTGCTGCTGCTGAGTATGTGTTCCTCAGATCTGCAGTGAAGTCTCAGAATCGCGAGTGAGTGGATGCGGGCTAATCTGCATATTCATAAAACCGCATGAAGCAAGGGTGTAGTGAGTTACATGTGAGCTGTTTTAAGGCATTACATTTGTTAATTAATGAGATCAAAGATGAGTTTTAAGGGATAAAATTATTTACTACAGGGGGACATTTAGGGTTAAAGGCTCAGCTGCTAAATAAGTTCATGAGTTCGCATCTACATATAATTATTGCGATAAAAAAAATATTTATTATATTTATTTATTTATTATTTATTTATTTTTTGGTTTTTTTTTTTTTAAATTGGAATTTGAGTCTGTAATAAAGTTTGATTGATTGATTGATAAAGATTCTGCGTACTTGGCGCGCTGTCCGGGTGGAGGGATCCAAGCTCGTGATTCTGCCCGAACCCAGAGCACTCTCCCCTGGTAAGAGTAGGTGAAACTGAAAGAGAGGCGATGGGGTGGAGGTGGGATGCTGATAAACTGTCAAGGAACAAGTGTGGGTTCTGCTTTTATTTATCTGATTACTGATTGCTCTCCACTTGTGCTGATTGGGTTAATTAACTGCACCTGCTCCTCCCGAACCTTGTTTATCAAACCTCATTTATTGTTGTAAAGATATTATATGGTGTTACCAATTAAAATATAGAAATATAGCTGCGAGCAGCGATTGCGGGCCCAAGCCGGTGGCACCGCAACCCTGATGCCTTTAGTTACCCAAAGGCACCGGGATGGTGGTACCGCCGGCTTTGGCGCTTTATCGCTGCTCACAGCTATATTTTTATTTAATATAAAGCCGGTGGCACCGCCACCTTGGTGCCTTTAGGGTTATTCTGTACGACGTGTAAAAACGTAACCCCCGCTTTGACTATCAAAAAGAAGTGTATTGTAGAGCTTCCATCAATGCGGACTCGATGCGCTGTGCGCTGTAACTCCATGTGGCTTTAAGCGCATCATTCTCCACTCGGGATGCGCATAAGCGTTTTGTGCCACACTGTACTGAGCCTTTCATATCATAATGCAGTGACGCAATGACAGATTATTAATTGCCTTTCTTGTTCTGTTCCATCTATTATATGTTGATAATAGATAGGACAGAGCACTAAAAACCTCAAACAAAGCACTAAAAACTTAAGCTGTTTGCTGTGTAGTCTGAGAATGAGCTGTTTGATTTGCACCCTCTTCCTCTTCACTGTCCTCCATAAAAACCAGCTATTCAGGTCCATGTTGTTCTAGAAAGTTTGTATGTTGCTGCCTCAATTAACATCTCTGCTATACATTTAAAACATGGCTATATCTAAAATAATTTATCTTTTTGATTTTTGTTATCTTGTTTTTCATGAATATTTTACAACAATACAAAGAGCAATGTGTATTTTCCATTAATATAGTTTGTAATGGCTTTTTTTGTCAGATTATAATCATATATTTTTTGGATTTGTTATTTATCTTTATAATGAAGTTGTCTGTATTAAGTAGATTGTGTTTAACACACACAAGAGTGATTTATTAGTTCAACACATAGTTATAGAAATTCTACTTTATCTAAAAAAAACCCTTCACTTTATACACACACACACACACACACACACGCACACACACACACACAGGCACACACACACACACACATAAATACATGTAAATAAAAATCCAAAAAAAAAAAAAACATCAAATGTGTTTTTAGTCAGAGTATTATTTTATACAGAAACAAATATTTGTAATTCAGATAAGAATGAAGTTAGTGTTTTAAAATCTTAAGGAAAACAAATATATTGAAATATAGCACATGAATTTTAAATTCATTCAACTTCAATTACAAATAGAATCTTACTTTTATTTAAAGCAAACTATACATTTAAAAGATGGGGGTTATATGCCTATTTTGTCATTTAAAAATATTGTTATGCAAAATTGTTATGCAAAAAGACAAGGACTTAGAGACAAGGACTTGTAGGAAAAATCGCAGCCAGCCACACACACACACACATAAACACAGACAACAGCCCTCCCCTCCCCACACAGACACACACACCCACACACACACACACAGAGAGAGAGAGAGAGAGAGAGAGAGAGAGAGAGAGAGAGAGAGAGAGAGAGAGAAAATCGCAGGGGAAATAAATCCATTCAAACTACAATATCTGACTTTCTGTTGCTCAGAGCGAATGACTTTAAATTGGAAAGTTGATCGGCTTGGCGAGAACAATATACGTAGTAAGTTTTGTAACTGTAGGTAAATTGAGCAAAGTTATAACACACTTTATGTGTCCTTCTTTAGTCATAAAATTCATTTCCTCGCCACGGCCAGACCGTTCGAGATATCAAAAATCCGTCCGGAATTGAGCATCCTCAATGTCTTGACTTCATGCACACCGAGTTTGGTTGTGATTGGTAAACACATGCATTGTGATTTGATGTATTTCTCCTAGGACAATTATTCAAACAACCCATAATTCATAATTCATAAATAACTTCCATTTGAACTGTCATAAAACTTAGAGCACGAAAGTTGTTTGGCCTGATGTGATCTATAATTGTACCGAGTTTCATATTAATTCATGCAAGTGTGTTTGATTTATGGACAAATGTTCGAATCCCAGTCCAGGGGGCGCTGTCGAGCCGCCCTGCCACGCCCGGTTACCAGCTTCAGCCCGGCCCTGATGGCCATGGGTTCTGACCCGTGTGCAAAGTTTCAAGAGTTTTCGAGGATGTTAAGGCCCCCGAAAATGCCAGAGAAGTCGCACACAGCAAATAAAGGGTTAAAATTAACCTGACAGGCGCCCCTCCTCTCACTCACACAGAGAGACACTGAGACACTGGCAAAATTCTGAGATTTTCTCTACATTCAAACAAACATATCTGACTTTATGTGGGTCCTAGCTAATGAGTGTCAATTAGAAAGTTGTCCGGCTCGAGGAGTACAATATACATACCGATTTTTGTAACTGTAGATAAAACTAACAACCCCACTTTTGTCAAAAGGTGGCGCTACTGAGCCCTCACCACGCCCGTTTCTGAAACTTTGCACGTGTCCACTGGCTAATAAATGTGATGTGTCTGTTGAGTTTCATGCAATTTCAAGCATGCTAAGGGTCTCAAAAGCATCCAAAAAGAATGGTAAAGTTTGATGCGTCACCACGGCAACAGTTTCAAAGATATCAAGAATCCATTCACAGGTCTACATCTGCCGTATGTTTACATTATACATATGAAGTTTGAAGCAAATCAGGTAAAAATAAAAGGGTGATATCAAAGCATTTTGAAAGTGACACACTTCCTGCTGCCAGTTGGTGGCGCTATAACTTTGACTCACAATAGTCACATCCATGTGATCGTCCTCTTACAGCGAACACACTGCTGAAGTTTCATCAAGATCAGTTAATGTATGCTGAAGTTATAACACACTTCCTGTTTCACGTTTCTTGCCATGATTTCGTTTCCTCGCCACGGCCAAACCGTTCGAGATATCAAAAATCCCCTCGCAAACTTTCATCCTCAATGTCTTGACTTCACGCTGACCGAGTTTCGTCGAATTTGGATCAAAGCTCTAGGAGGAGTATTTGACATTCCATTGCGAGCGTTTTACAAACAAACCTCAATAGCCGACTTCCTGTTGGGCTGGGGTAAAAAGTAAGAGCGCGAGGTATAGATGAAACAATGAGATCAACATGTGTACCGAATTTCATATTATTACATACAAGCGTGTTTGAGTTATGGACCAAGTGTTCGGACCCCGTTCCAGGGGGCGCTGACGAGCCGCCCTGCCACGCCCAGGTACCAGCTTTAGCCCGGCTCTGATGGCCGCGGGTTCTGACCCGTGTGCAAAGTTTCAAGAGTTTTTGAGCATGTTAAGGGCTCCAAAAGTGCCAAAAAGGTAGTAAAATAATAATACTAAAGAAAAATAATCCCAAGGAAAACAATAGGGCCTTCGCCCTTTCAGGGCTTGGGCCCTAATTATAGAATTGGAATTTTTAGAATTTCAAGGAAAAGAGGTTTCAGGAAGGTCAGTAAATAACAATTAGACATGCCAATAATAAATTTATAAAAAAAATGTTATCTATATCTGCCCAAAACTAGGCTACATAAACACCACAAGCGTAGTCCATTAGGCTACTTTATATACATTTAAAACAGTATGATAGTTTTGTGTGAGGAACAAAGTAAAAAATTACTGATAATCTTGTTTGACATTGCTGTACAAGATTACAACACGTGACGTTCACTGGGTCATGTCTATCAACAATATCAACACCTAAATGAATCTATAGCTAATTATAAGCTCTACGAGGACCTGAACGCTTTTTACAAGTTGTGAAGGACCAAGCTGGCAGGCATGAGGAGTCAAACTAAGTTAAAAGTTAAAAATAAGTTAAAAATATAAGTTTGTATTTACAAACCGAAAAAAACAACAACTGATTTACAGAAATCTGACAGTTCTGGGCCCAAGAGGTCAACTTAAACAGAACATAGGCTAAACACCTGAAGTAACTAAACAGACTACAACATGGGGGAACTTATATTCTTTTTCTATAATACCAACATTACCCATGATTAAATATAAATCCTTGGTGGCCAGGTGCCGCACTTTTATATCGTTTACCCGTCCAGTCACAGCATATTTATTGATACGCGTCTGCACTCTTTACTCTTAGCCTTCGAGCGATCCCCTGTATGGAGAGGGGTTATGCACAAGATAAATATATATATATAGTCTGGGGCAGATAATAAAGGACAAAAGAAAACAGGGGGTAACAAATAAAGATCGGACCTGTCAATCAAACTGCAAAACTTTCCTTTTCATCCTCAGTTTCTCTGGATTGGTGTTTACCGCTGACGCTTTCTGACTACATCTGCAGAGATGGAAGCAACAAATGGGTTTTCATTATAATGCATTATGGGATTATTTTTAGTAGCATGGAAAACTTCAAAGACCAACAGTGGCCTGTTTTTTCTCTGATTATTCATGAAGGTCTCATGGAAAGGAGCAGTGAAGGAGGACAGGACTTATTGCCATGACCTGATTTCAGACACAATTTTCATATTTTGGCACAGGCGGATGGCGTCTCTTAAAGCGGCTTGAAAATCTTGTTTGGTTACTTGCGGTGTAGCCAACCACAAAAAGTACAATGTATTTTATTCCACTATCAATCGGCTATTTTGAGTTCTGAAGATTGAGGACAAAGTTCTTTGCGGTGATTATTAATTCATCACGGCCTCGGTTACGCCGCACTCAAGTTTAGACACTAAATTTAGGTCATACAGAAAGGAAATGTCTTAAAACAAAATGTACAAGAAATCTGAAGCTTCTTTAGAACATACTGAGGTCATTGCATTATTCAGAAAGGCCTTAAACTTTAAAACAATCCATTAATCCATTCATTCATTCATTCATTCCCAATGTCAGAAGCAAAATGGTGATGCTGCGTCTGAGACTTCAGCTGCAGACTGAGATGCAAATGATCTTTCTCTGTG